CTGTTTTTCTATCCATCTCCTTGTGCTGGCAAGAACTGACCCTCGAGGGGTGGGAAGAGGTAGTGCATGGCCCTGGAGACGATGGCTGCACAAGTGAAATGGAAACCAACTATGGGAGTGCTGCCACGGGGGGGGGCTGACAGCTGGACACAGCTGCAGGTATTGCCTGTTAATGACCAAATCAAGGCCCATGATCCCAGCACCAAAGCTTTCACTGCATGACTGATGCCAACTGCCTTAAATGGGACGTGTCTAGGGCTCTTGTTCAGCAAAGCACTGGTTTCTCTTGCTGGCAGTCTGTGCCTCATAATGTAGCTATAAATGCTGCCTGCTCTGTGGGAAGCCCTAGAGCAAGATGCGTGCGTCAGTCCAGCATTTTCAGTTACTAAAGGCTGGGCCTGGTTGCACAGGTATCTCGAGTACAGACAGGTATTCATGATATCCCTAGATACAGAGGCTGGTATCTATAGGTGTAGATGCACCCATGTACGTGAATCTGTATTGATACCCAGTTACGCATGTCCGCACATATGTACGTGTAGAAAATCTTATCAGCCAGTAATAGCAAAGCACAAAGGGCAGAACACAGCATACGCTGCTTTTACCAAATGACTTTAAAAGTTTCTTACCATTAAAAAACTTGATGATATCGGTGAAGTCCATGTTGTTATCACGGATAATCTCTCGATAGACCTCCACCAGTGCTAAGGCAATGAAAAGGACAAAATGTTCTGAAGAGATGTGCTTTGCTGCCCAAATAACTTCCCACACTGTAAATACATCCTCGTACAACAATTCTGAATGGGAATAAACATCACAAGAGCATCAGGTTGTTATCATTTGAGACGACTGGAGTTTATTATTCAAGATTATTCAAGCTGACCCTTTTCTTTCTCTCCCCCAAATGTTTTCTAAGTCTTATACAAAAATCTACATTGCTAGAAGTTCTGCAGGGTCAGATTCTCTTACTCCTTTGTAAAACAGTAGCAAAATCTACTTTTTCATGGTTATATAGGTGAACTGTTCATCTTACAAACTATGTAAATTTTACAATTACTTTAGTCCTCCCTTTTGTAATACTTATTAATTCTGCAAAATGTATTTTACAGATTCTGAATAGACAACCGCCTATAATGACGACACAGAAAAACTCATTTAGGGGAAGGAGCTAGACATCCCCCTGCAATACCGTGCAATCAGACAGCACTGTGCATTAGCACGAAGATCAGAAGCTGACTGGGAGAGCAAGTGAAACTCCAGGACCGCTTTTCTTTCAGGATGCAAAAAGAAAGCAAAACGTGACTAGCAAAAGGTAAGATGTGCACTCACGCTGAGGATTTGAGAGAAGTCTGTAGTATGAAGAGTATTAGTGCAAAGCAATATCACTCCAGTATGTAACAGCAAAACCAAAGCCTGCAATCCCCCGTCCTCAGAGAACACCAGGTGTGCGTGTGTGTGATGCACAGGAGTGTGGTCCAGTGGACTGAGGTTGTGGAGATCTGGGTGCCACACCCAGCTCTGCTCCTCAGCTGCCTTTGGCAAGTCCCTCCAACTCTGTGCCTCAGTTTCCCCTCCCCTCTGGCTTGGCCATCTCTGGTACATACGCAGAATGCACAGCACAAAGGGAGCCCAGTTTTGCCTGAGGCTCTTACCCCCTGCTGTAATACAGATAAGAGACTCCGGTCCTAACTAAAATGCATTTAGGCTCAGGGTATTACCTCTCTTAAAATCAAGCAGGAACCAGCGATAGCAGAAGTAGAAGTGAGTGTAGTCTCCGTTCTGGTGCATCAGCTCAAAGAGCTCGGAGTCCAAAATCTGAAACGCAAACACTTACAGTTCAGCATCCCATCTGGCAGCACCAGTGTCTGACTCGAGTCTGTTGGAAGCCCGCTGGGCTGCCCTCTGACCCTGCACTGCCTAATCCAACCACTGCCATGAAACCCCGGTACACCAGACAAATATCTAAATCAAGTGTCAAATCCTGCTGCACAGGGTTATTCCAACAGACCTGCTCACCTGGCCCGTCAGACCAAATGTGCCAGGCTCTGTTCTGAAAGCGGTATGTTTGGACTGAGCAATTACCCCACCAGGGCTGAATGCTGGAGGCGCCCCATACGGTACAACTTGCTACAAATAAGCAGCACGGCATTTACAGCATCAGCTTATTGTCTGCGACTGTCGATAGCGATGGTGCTACCTTCTGCATGCAGTAACGCATGCGGGACAGACTCCAGCTTGGGTATCGAGAGTGCTGTGCCGAGCAAAGCAACACTGCTAAAACTTTGCATGCTGTTTTACTTAGGTTACACACGACATAAAAACTTGTTTGGGACCCATCTGTTTTGTGGAACAGTGAGCTGCATTTCTGTGGCTTAACCTGAGGCTTTTATATTTAATGGAAAGGTATTTATATTTAAACAGGGGCCACCAGTTCCATACCTACTACGCTCAGATCATGGCATACTCTGACTTCTGAGCCTGTGCAAGCAAAGAGGCTAAATGGTCATTAGTATCAACTCAGACAAAGAAGTTAAAGAGTAGACTCAAATTTCCCACAAAGCAAAACCTTGATGTGTAAAGAACAAATATCCAAATTAAAGAACTGTGTAAACAGTGTGTGGGGAGCATGGTTTCCCCTGTTCTGCCCTAAAACTAACCAGTTTTGTCTACTGTAAAGGTACAAGTTAACAAGGGAAGTCTGTGGTGAATGCACAGACAATAGGCATGCTTATGCTGACAGGGGTCTTAGGACAGAGCGACCCACCCTTATAGATGGAAGTGTAGGAGAGGAACCTGGGGTTTGCCAAACATGGTGAAATTAAGTTAATGAAAAATGTAGTGCTCAAGTTCTTGAACAACTGTGCAGAAATACTGCCCACCAGGCTTTGTCCACACAGCAAGTACACTGCAGCTGCTGTGAAATTTATTGAAAACTATCTATATTCCTTCACACCACACCTTTATCCTTTGTAGCATCAATCGCTGATGTTCATACAACCCTTTGGAGTACAACACGTGCTTATCTCAGCAATTACGTTATATCCCGCTGTATACCATTTATACAAGTAACCTTACTAGAAGTGTGTGACCATTTATTTTATTGTCACTCCACTGTAGGGGTCACTAACTACATCTAATAAATGGTTAGAGAGTAAATGGAGTTCATTGTTCAAAATAATTCAGCATATCTGAGAAGACCAAAACATTTTGTAATCGAGTTACCCTGGAAACTGAGCACGGCTGTAGTGTGGGTGGCCTTTTCTTCAAAAGGTTCTCATTTTATTCCTCCAGCTGTGGGGTGGAGGGGTGTTAGTCTCTCTCTCTCTTGCACTCACTTGCTCCCTGCCAGGTGACTTCCTTGAGATCACACAAGGAAGCTGGGCCCAGCCAAGTTTCTAGCCTCCCCTATCCCTAGCCTGTCTTGCAATGGGATGGACCTCCCAAGGACATCAGTGCCATCAATCCACGCTCTCTGCAAGTCCAAAGGAAGCTAAACCGGTGCCTGCTCTTTAGGCTGCCCCTACTCCTGCTTTCTGCTGGCTGGGCCTAAGGCATGTGAACTTCACTGTTCCTTTTCATAGCTGGCACAGAGATGTGTGTGTGTGGGGGGGGGGTGTCCACCTGTCAAATTATGGTAAGGATTGGTCGACTGACTTTATGCATGTGACTGACAGATGTGCGGTACCTGTTGTGTTGTGTAAACCCAACAACTCTCAGCACACAGGGGCAGGTGACCAGGCACTGCTGCTGTCCTGTGATGCTTCTGCCCCTCCGTGGCATGAGACCAGGATTGAGATGGTGGGAACTAAGGCATGCTTCCCTCTCCCACCTCGAACAGGGGCCATCATGAATCCTCACCTGGATTAGGGATCGCATGTTGGCAAAGTGTGTGTCCATAGCACCACCATTGGGGAAGTTCTGGCTCATTCTCTTCATCAGGTGGCTGAAGCAGCTGTATGCCAGCTGATCTATGGAGGCAAATAAATGGTATGGTTTAGTATGTTGCAATGCTGGGGATCTCACGTTTTGAGCTGGACAAGGCAGTAACTTGAAAGGAAACATGATGGAGCTGGGGAAGGGGTAGCTTTCTCCTTCCACCTCAGTTATTTCCTCTGTATCTGGTGCTGGGTTAAAATATTATCTAGGGCACCGTAGTCTCTGTGTGCTGATTGCAAAACCCCTCTTGCTTGAAGCAAAGAGTCTAGCCACTGGGTTAATTAGATCACCTGCTGAGTCTGCAGAAATACTGTTGGCTTGCAAACTGGGTTGAACTTTGGTCTGGAAGCCATGGAAAGACTAACCAGGGAATCCTTAAGTCGCGGCAGTTAGTCACATCGGTGATTGTGCATGAGCAGACAACTCAATCCCTGCAGGCTTTCTGCTGGTGAGGTAGCATTTACATAGACTGTCCTGCAGTTCCCAGCTCAGGGTTTAAAGGGCTCATCTGCCTAATCCGTACCAGTGACCAAGCCTGACGAGGCAGCTCTGCTTTCTTACCGCTGTCGAGTATGACCATGAGAGGAGCCAGGAGATCGCACATGCCTTGAACGTACCCAACCTCGAGGTGCTCCCAAACATAACTGCAGAGGAAAGAAACGAGAGATGCTAGGAGACCTCGTGCAAATCATTTTGCTGGGGGCTATTCATAAGTCAGCCGGGCTACCAGAAGGCCAGCTCCCACTGGAAGGCTTCAGAAGACGGTCTCTAAAGAATATAAACCTGGGGCCAAAATTTCCCAAGGACAAAACAAATGGGAGTCTCTAAAAATCCCTTGGAAAACCTTAGAGAACTTAACAGAGACTGTGAATCCATTTCAGGAATTCCCAAGCAAGGAGCATGTGTTTTTCCCTCTCTGTATTACAGGATATCCCCCCAAACCCACAGACATTCTCTGGGAGTTCTGCATGAGGGAAGAGCCACATGTAAGTCACCGGACACCAGCATCTCTGCCTGGCTTGATACTGGGCTGGACGGCGGTGTACAGAGGGCCAGTGCCTCTGGCCACTGGGTGAGGGGACTGCTGAAAGCACATAATGCATTTGGACTTCTACAAAAGGAACTTTTTTCCCAAAACGCTGCCCTGTTTTCCAAAAGCAGAATCACCGGCTTCTACTGGGGCTTGTGCTCCTGGGCTGCAGGCAGCTTTTGAACATTTTTCTCCTCCCCTTTTGCCATGGACTAAAAATACAAATTGACCAAAATAAGACAGCAGCAACCTCAGACAATTGCAGTGTTTGGCCTCCAGCCTACCCGAACCAGGGGCACAGGCAGACTTGGAGCCCTGGCCAGACTGTAACTGCTGCTTGCCCTGGGAAGAATGGAGCTTGTAGCGCCTGAGAGTCTAACATCTGGGGGTAGAAAAAATGCTACCTGGAAGCCGTGGCACAGATATTTACTGGGCCTTAACTGGTGCTGGCTTTATGTTTTGAAACCAAAACGTCAGATTTTTCATGGGACGTGTATCTGTCACCTGCCGATATGAGCCTAGTCAGACTTTCAAAAGCACCTAGGATGCTTTGCTCCCGTTGATTTCAATTCTTCCCACTGGGTGAAGATATTTGAGGGGTTTTCATCTGAAAACAGACACTACCGCTCTAACATTCGTGCCCCTCACAATCCTGGTACAAGCCCTGTAAAGCAGGGCTCTTTATCTCTCCATCATACAGGTGGGGAAACTAAGACTGCATGAATTTCAGTGACTTAAGGTGAGATGGAGTCTTTGCTGGAGTGCAGAATTGGACTCCCCAGAGTCTAGTACCTAAACCATTTGCCCTACCTTTACCTTCTCTTCTAGTAGACTTTTGCCACTCCCAAGGGAGAGGAAAGAAAAACACTTCTATAACTATTATTGACCCAATCTAATTGGAAGGCGATGAAAGAAGAGTCTCATTTGCAAATGGTGTTACCTGCACATGACATTTCGGAGCTTCTCCAGGTTATCAGCAGTAAAATACCAGTAGTTCCGATCACACCTCTGGACGTCTTTATCAATTCTATGCAAATTTAAGGCAACTGTGTCCAGTAATTCTATCTAGAAGAGAGATGCATGTGTTAGACTTGCAGTTCAAAAAAAAAAACACAATGCTTCCAGAGTTTAACCTGAATTAAGAAGCACGAAAACTCTCAGATCCTGCCAACCAAGCGTTCCTATAAACCTTCTCTGAGATCTACAGAAGTGCTACACAGGAGCTGTGTGGTAGTGCCACTGTTACCGCTACTGAGCTTGAAGCTGGAGTAGATCTGGCTTCCCTGGTTCCTATCCTCTCCCCACCACTGCAGTGGGGACCAGCCTGGGGACACAGGCCTGAGCATGCTGGTGGTGTGTGGAGTGACTTGGGAGCCAACTGGCAGAGTTTAGAGCAGCTCCTAGGAGTCCCAAACTGCTGCAAGGCCCAGCTGGCAGAGATCAGCCCACAACACTGGCACCAGGGTGGGCTTCCTGGCTTTGCCCAGTTTAGCAGGGATGAAGGGATTTTAGCAAAGCAGAGATCTTGCAGCAAGCTGAGATTTGATGTGGGTCACACTTGACAACAAAGCCTATAACAGCTATTACAGTTCTGGGCATCTTTCATATGTATAAGTACCTTGTAGGCATGATCAGAGCATCCATATACCTGCCTGCTGCTAAGTCCCAGCTGTAACACACCTGCTGGCACTGGTGAACCTACCAAACACGCGGGTCTATTAATGGGTGACCAGGGGAAGCCTCAGACCCTGAAGCCTAATACACTGAGAGCAATAATAATACCCAGGAGCCAGGATGGTGCAATACTAGGGTTAGGATTTGCATCAGATGGTTTGGGAATTTAAGCTGTTCCCTTGAGGTTCTGGCTATGCTAAAACTGGGCCTAGAGAAAATGCTCTGAGTTTTGGCTTCATTCCAGAAACGAGACGAGCAGGGCAGATCTGGAGGCAGCGACTCTGATTTACCCTCCTGCTACCTGGGTTTAAGGTTGTGGTTGTGGCTTATCCTCATTAAATCCTGTCTAGAAGAATAGCTGAGACACACTAGGGATCACTCAAAGAAGAGCGCTCTACAAACTTTAAGGGAATGCGACCTACTGTATAGGACGCAGCACAAACAGCAGCAAGATCCACTCCAGATGTTAAATAATCCAGCTGGGAGCACAGCTGTTCCTCCGGTATGGAATCCTGCACCTCTACAGCCACCAACCCGGCTTTCTGAGCATGGACTGTGTCCACATCTGTTCTTTCCAAGTCCATGCTCGTTTCTTCCTCTACCCCATCTTCAAAGCAGATGCTCTGCCCGTCATCGATGCTGGAGAGGATGCCTGAAGCTACCGAGTAGTTCCGAGAAGAAGGCAGCCCAGAGTCAGGAGAATCAAATTCTACCGACTGCTGCTCTACTGCAGCAACTGCTGTTGGTGTGTCCATGTTCACCACAGTCAAAGAAGGGTCGTCCTGGCCCTTTGAGTCTCGCTCTGCTGAGTCCATTTCATCTACAGAGATGAAGACCTGACGATTGGTAGGTGGGAAGAAAACAAAATAGAGCCGTTAGTTTGGCAAATCAGAGGGGCATGCGGGTATGTCAGTGCAATATATACAATCATTGGCTAGTAAAACATCCATTTATTACCACATGCAGGTAAGTGTGTGTGTGCAGCTTGGATCAGGGTCAGTGCACCTCTTCTCTCTCTACCTTCCCCCCAAACAGCCCCTCAACCAACCAATGTAGCTGAAACCTTGACTGCCTGAATTATGCTGCTCCCGACCGCGCAGGCTGTGCCTTGTGCACCAAGCCTCTGCCATCACTTGACAGGCAAATACTTCTCCCTGAAGATGCAATAGGCTACTCACGTCATTGCTGATGGTGGAGTCCCTGTGGATCAGTCGCTGGACGTGGCTGTCGATGCTGCTGCCCGATGAAAACTTAGCCAAGGTGGCATAGTGTGACTCCTTCTCTCGCTGCTTCACTATCACCTCGCAGGCTTTCCACTCCGCCATGACCTTCTGATACTGGAGAGCAATGTCTTCATCCACCTGCAAAGCAGAGGGGTCAGAAAGGCTGGATTCTCCCTGCCAGGCAGCATGCGAGAGAACCAGAGTGATGCACATAAGGAGAGAGTGAAATTAATGAAAAGAGCCAACGAGAATTGAGGCTCCGAGTTGTGCGTTCCACACCCAAACTCCAGGTGAAGGCCCATTTCACCAACATGAATTAAATCCGTCTGCGAAAGGGAGAGAAAGTCTCACAGTCTCTGGGCTGGGACTTGGGATACTGTCTGAGCTGATGCGAATTGCTTTAGCCTTTCTGGGCCTCAGAGGGAAGTGTTACGCACCCACCCATCTCAGCAGGGTGTTGTGAGAAGAGATGCAAACACCAAGCTGTAGAAAGGGGTGCCACAGATCTGGATGCTTTCCACAAGGCTATCTGATAGGAGAAGCCTGAGGGCTGCGATGGAGTTTTAAGGGCACGTCAATAAAGAAGGAAGAGGAAAGAGACAGCAAAGTCACGGAGCTTGCTGCAGCAGCAAGCCAAAGATAAAGCAGCAGGGCTGGGAAATGTAATGACTGCCTGCCCACATTAGCAAACCTGAAGCACCTGAGAAACCACCGGGAGTAAACTGATCACTGCAGGCAGGATATTTTTTAAACCTGTGGTGAAGATGCTCCTAGTTGTCTTCAGAAGAGCAAAGGAGCCACTGGCTTCAGTCTGCCATACACTCTAGATGCCGGACAGGACGTGGTGCACCAGTGACTGGCTGCAACAAAGCAACTCCTGTCGTCACATTGTGCTGCTTGAGCTCCCTCAGTGTGCCCTGGGGTCCACCTCCAAGTCCACAGGAAGACTCAGGACCAGAAAGTGATCCTGCCAGGCTGGAAATTCCAGCTTGGAGACGGGCTCTGTCACAGCTGCACTGCACGTGGCCAGATGGCGCCCCTCTGCTCCTTGCAGCAGTAAACTATCCGCTGCCATGGCTGGCTTCTTCTGCACTAAGTCAGATTGGAAAAGCCCTAGGGCGAAATAAGGACATGCAACAATTTTGCTGCTCTGTCACTTGTCAAGAGCTGGACAGAAATCATTGCTGTGAGTGGCTGCAGGCTCTGGGCTTTGCCGGCCAGTCGTGCTACTGAAATGCTCTCACCAAAGCTGAGGGATATTTGTCACTTGAGGTAGCGGAGTCATAAATCACCAGGCACAACCTTTGGCGGGAGGCTGGAGGAGAGCCAGGCTGGAGAGTGCCCCAGGCCTGGCTGCCTAGCACTGATGGATGGCTGCAAGATACTGCCAGATAGCAAAGATGATACATCATCCAGGACAGGCCCAGCTGAGAACATGGAGAGTTGAGTGAAATATGCTGAAATTACGACTGCTCTGATCTCACTTGCTTATGAATCCCTTCCATTTACTGCGGCCTTTGTTTAGGACTGGACTCCTCAGACAAACACCATTTAGTACTGCTATTAATTATTGGCACTGCAGTCCCCTCAAGGACCTGCAGCATGGACTGGGCCTCTCTGTGCAGGGTGCTGGAGAAAAGATGGCTCCAAGGAGCTGACAAGTGGGTAGCACTTCTCTAGTGCCCTCTAGCAGAATAACAAAGCACCCAGCCTGCCCTGATTTATGACTTGCTGCACCTGAGCTTAGCATCATTCCTAGCTTACAGCCTGGGAAGGTCGGTCAACATGGGAATGAAGGTCAGCCTTCCTCCTCACCAGGCCCGTCCTTCAGATGCTTGGGACTAGTCTTCCTGAGTTCTGGTTCCACATCCCCTTCCTCAAGTACTAGGAGCACATCCCCTTCCTCAACCAAGGCAGCTCTCAGAGACCTGATTTTCTGAGGTCTAATTTTTTTGCTTGGCCACACACTGAAGGCCCCTCCTCAGTGTTAACAGTCCAGTCCTATAGGCAGGAGTGAAAGACAGAAGTCAAATACAACCCACAGCAATCAGATCACGGAGGAGGCAGAAGGAGCCAACACGCATCATGCAGTGGAAGAATGACTGGAAACAGGAGGCAGTTAACTCCAGTCATTAGTGTCTAAAGGGAGAGGGTGATGACTGGCAATAGCAGTGCTGACATGCCATATTGGCACCTTCTGGGAGCTACTGCACAGCCTCCAAACTGCTCCCGCTAATGCTCAAAATGAGCTTCGCAAGGAAGGTGCCTTGGTGCCAGAAACCATGCGAGCTCCACCACTGCGCTGGTCCCGTCAGAGCTCAGGCTGGTACGTATGCACACAGTCCTTCTCCCTGCCTCCTGCTCCTCCTGCCCACGCGTGTACCTGATAGGGCTCTCCTTGCTGTGTCCTGACCATTTTCATGGCCGGTCCTGTGATGCCATGAGATGGGCTGGGAACAGAGCAGGCCAGCGGTGGGATAAGGAGGTGGGAGGAGAAGTTGAAGTGAAGAGATTCTCCTCTTAGCTCAGCTGTTAATGGAGTGGGGCACTACCACTACCAAGGCCACAGGGACAATCCCGACACAGGCCAGCACGTGGAAATTGCACTACTGAACAGAACAAGGGTTAAGGTTTGGACTGCGACTCCTGCAGCACTCGCCTCTACTCAAGTACGGGCCTGTGTTGCACGCAGATGAGATAACTCTGTTAACAACTTCTGAGCAACAGGCCAGCCAGCAGAGGGGACATGCCTGAAGATTTGGCCCATCATTTCCTGCTGGGCAAAGTTTAACCCTGAGGGGATGAGGCAATTTATTTCTCTCTGGGAGAGTGCCCTGCCCAATTTCAGGAAGGATTTGTCCCCGGCTCCCTCCCAACACGAAGACCTTCCGAGCAGGGTGGGCTGTGCAAATCACTGCATGCTGAACGCTTCCGAGGTTAAGGCAAGATTGATTCAAGGCACAAAATTTGGATCCTGAGCTCTTCTGAACATGCCAAAGCTCTGGGCTGCCTGCCTTCAGCTTTGCTCCAAATGACCGGATTACTGGGATGGAAAAGCCAAGTCACAGCGCATTGGTGGGATGAAGGCTGCTTACACAACACCAGCAGTTGAGATGATGACTAACTGTTCAGCGTGGAAGGCTCTAGGTCAAGCCGCCCTTGTGATCTGCAGCTGCTTGCAATACCCTTGGGATATAAACTAATTGGAAGCTAGCAAGTGCCAAATATCCTGTTTATACAAAAACTGCTACTTATCCCTTGTAATCTGTTCCAGAGCCGCACCACGTACATTCTCTCGCTGGTGAGGATACACGTCGGCAGTGAGATTAGGGAGTCAGCATGCTGCGTTCCAGAGCCCGCTCTCCTTTTGCGCAGTATGTAAGCATCGGGTGGGCTTGTAGCGTAAGCCCATACCAGGCCTTGTCTGCCCAGAAAGAAGTACAGCTTAAAGACCAAGTCCTAGCGTAGCCTCGTGGCCTTTGCGAAAGGGCAAGTCACCGAGGAACCGCACAGTGGTGCGAGATGGATGTGCTGGCTGATGCTGGTTTCGTGTGCGTAGCTGGAGCACAGCACCCTGACTCCTGCTGTCAGTCCTAGGATTTCATTGTTAACACTGGCACGAGCCTGTTTGCTTCTCTCTGACAGTTCACTAATGTCTCTGCCTCCCGTTAGCCATTTGTTACAAGCAGTAACGCTCGGGCCTCTCAGAGCTAATTATTTTCTGTCAAGTGCTTTGAGATCAGTTGGTGAAAGGGCATGGCTAAGAAGGGCAAAGCAGAAGTGTTCTAAGTGGATGAGCAAAAGCAGCTAATATATAATTTAAACAGGCAGAAAGATGTGGTTTAATGAAGCTGAAAAATGTGTCCACTTACACTTAACACTTTGCACCCAACTTTCTTGGCTTTCAAGACAGGGCTAAGCCAAACTCTACCCAGAAGGCAAGAAAGGAAGGGTTTATGGGCTGGTCGGCCAATGCCGGAAGGTATAATGTGGGGAAGCGTCCTTTCCAAAACTGTACAAGCAGCCTGTGGCAGGCTTACGGCCCATCAGGAAATCTAAGATGAATAGGGGGGAAAAGTGTGTAAATCTGAATTACAGCTGGGAAATGGGGTAAAAATAGATCTCCAACTCAAAAGAGACAGACACCCAGTGCTGCCACAAGACAGGAATACACTGCTTGGGCTGGCAGGCCCCAGTAGGGTCACCCACTCAATTTGGGTGGGTCTGCAGCCAGGATGCTGTTTTCCTCCAGGCATAGACAGAGGCTAGGACACACTGCAGCCTCTTCCTACTTGAATGGTTTGCCTGTGACCCTGTAATGCTTCTGTGCTGAAGGTCCCATGTGTTAGCAGGGCACAACAGCTTATGTGATGGACGTTCTGACAGGACTCAGGCCCTTAACCATGTTTAACTGCACCAATATGTAGCAAATGCTGCTAACTGGGGAAAGGCCATGGGTCTGGGGGTTTCCTGGGTGCTTTTAATATGGACAAGAAGTCACTATATGCAAGTCCCAAACACTTTTGCAATTACACTAGTGTTTCAAAGGAAAACGGAGGTGTTTTCATTTAAAAAAAAAATACATCTTGCAGGTATCTTGTCATCTAAAAAGGGACTGTTAGCAAGGTATGCCTCAAGCTTTGCAGGTCACAAAAGCTTGATATGCACAGTTAAAAAGTAGTTGCATTAGTGTTTCAAGATGGGGGATTTGAATGCCTGCTGTGCAGCCTGGCACACTGCATTCCTCAGTTACTGTGAGCATTGTCCTGGGATAGCCCCTTTCCCTCCCAGGATCAGGAAGCACATTCCCTGCGCTCATCTAAGAGTGGACCCTACACAGCTAACTGACACCCATTTTACAAATACGGAAACTGCTGAGATACAGTGAGGCTATGTGATCAGGCTGCCACAGCAGGGCTCAAAACAAAGTCCTGGCTTCCAGATCTACTAGAAGGATGTTCTCAACAAAGAAGCCCGCAAAATCACAGGTTTCAGATGCCTCTGAACAGCTGCATTCTTCGTGCTTTTGAAGCATTTTTCCTAACATAAGTGTTCCACCAACTGAATGCTCTTGGTGTCGTCTGGTTTTCCTTTCTTAACTCTGCATCCAATTTCAAAATCCAGAAACTGGAACTCACCCGATCCATATCCTTCTTGGTCATGCCAAATTTGTAGTGACCTAGTAAGAAGGGCCACACTTCCTTTCGGATCTCATGCTGCACCCCACCATAGTACACTCTTCTCAGCAATTCCAACTCCTTGTAATTCTAAAGGAGGCAGGGAAGAGATGGGATAAGGAAGTTAATACAGCTGTATTCTGAGCTTGTGTGACATCGAGAAAAGCACTTACACCTGCAAACATAATGGGCCTCAAAACAACAAATACAGAGACCTTTGTTTTTAGGGTACCAGTTCAAATTTGGCCCGCTGTGCTGATGACAAGGCTGTTACCATCTGACTGCAGCATCCCAAAAAATGCCTCTGTTCCTAATGAACAGACATCCATCCAGAAACACAGCCCGTAATGCTACACAATTACAGATTTCAGAGAGCTAACTCTTTCTTACTTCTAGGATGTGATCCCTTTTAAGAGCCCCTGATTTGGAGGGCATGTATTTATGAGACTCACTTACGGGGTTTGTGCCTGGGAGCAAGGCAAACAGCTTGAAAAGCAACGAGCAGTTTGCACTGGCACTGTCTGTGCTAGAAGTGTTCGAATGGACTGAAGAGCAGCCAGAAAGGGGTGGGTGCTAAACAGTTCTAACCTGGCTTCAGGAAGCTGCCTTTAAAACTCATTCTGGCTTTTAACAAAGAATTTCAGGTCTGACCATTTGAATGTACTCCCCTGTAAAAGTTGCCTGCTGGGACACTCGGAGCTTGTGCAGAAGGCAACCAGACGTGAAACTGGTCACATCATTTACATCACACATACCCTGGAGAGCCCCTGACTCCCACCCCACTGGCAGAGCAATGTAGGAACTGGGTGTGCACCAGATGTTGATAGAGGAATTCTGGCACAAGGTGTGAATTCAGGAACAGTTCCTAGAGGACAACATGAGAAGCATTCCCAGCCAAATAATGCTCAGATGCCATTTCACTGAGCACCGAGTGTGGATGGAAGAGCTGAATTTCCCTTGGAAGAACTGGAGGCTGGTGCAGCGCTCACCAAGGTCCCCTTTACCTTCTTGTCCTTCTGGTATTTGCTCCAGACCTCTTTTGTCAGGCCTCCTGTGGCGCTGGTCGGTTTGTCGGGTGGGACGATGGTGTGGTTCACTAGAGCAGACAGATGTGTTCGCACTGTAGACAAATGACGGCAGTAGGCAAGCCCTGCATTTGGTGGGGGAGAGTGGCAAGATCACGTAAGCGAGAAGGAACCCGTACAGCAGGCCCTTTTAAAAGACCCAAGTGGACAGTTGAAGCTTAGAGCAAACACCCTAAAACAAAGCAAGTCTACACGTGCGCTGGGCAGAACGAAGGTCTGCAAAGCTGATGGCTCATTCAGTTTAAAGAGGAAAGTGAAACTGCAAGGTGGATTAAGAAAGGAAAGGGGGAAGGAACAGAGCTGTAAGCCTGTTCTCTGCTGCTGCTTACAGAAGCCCGGATATTTGGGCCAAGGGTTTGATCCTCTTAATGTTCTGAGTTGCTCTAACTCCTTATAAAGATAAGGGACAACTCCACCCTCTCACCTACACATGCTCAGGTCCCTAACAGTGGAGTCCTCCTACAGGCAAGCGTGTGGCTGCAGCAGAAGCTGAGTGCACTGTGCTAACATCCCCCTTGGTGAAAAGCTTCACTTACATCCATAGAAGGCTCTGGATACAATTTGTCTCTTCATGCTTTCACACAGCATCTTTAACGGGGTTCTGGAGAGAGACATTTTTGACAGGAACGAAGTTGGGTTACACAGATTAACATTCCCACTTGGCTGATAAACGCCCTGCTTCTCTGAAGCAAGCTGCCACCCCTGAGGCCTATCTAGCACAAAACCTCAGGTCACAAAATATTAAAACTTGTGGTGCTGCCTCAGACCATGTTTAGCAGGTACCTTGCAGCAACTGGATACTCTGGTGACATTGTTGAGGTCACTGATCAATCATATTCCTAGCTGTCCTCTGCCAGATTAGTTGCTGGCTGGCTTGTTACCACAACCCTGAAGTGCCACTTGGGCTTGGGGGTTTCTGCCAGGGGCACTGCCTTGCAATCCCAGACGGATCTGAGAGTCTCTAGCTAGACTGGTGCAACTGCAACAGCCTTGACTTACCTGTGCAGAAAGGAAGTTACTGAAGGCCTGCCTTAGAAGTGCCAGCAGGACTCAGGCTCCCATGTTCATGTGTTCCCCCCGCCCCAGTCTCAAGCATCAATCTTTGAGCTGGACCCTCAGAGCTAACATCAGTTCTGAAACATGACTTCCGCATTTTTTAACTCTTGATCCCTTCGTGTCTGATATTGCAACCAACAAGTCCACCCTGGATCTCCCTGTGCGGGAGACCAAGGGCACTCTCACATCACGTGCCTGCACAGTGCTCCACAGGACATGCAGCCAAAGCTTTCCCACAACTATCTGCCTTCTGCAGTTGGGGCCACGCTGGCTCTCTGAGCACACCCTGCTTACCTGTCGTGTATGCAGTTGCAGCAGCTGGGGAGGTCATAAGGAGAGCTGCCCGTTGAACAGGAGAGACACGAGGAACCTTGGCTACAGTGCTCCAGCTGCCATGACAACAAGCTTGCACTAAATCCCTGCATCTCTATCATGTCGCTGGGGTCTGAGGAAAGAAAAACATCTGGGCATAAACTTTTCCCCCTGGTGTGCCCTGATGGCTTTGTGCTTCGCTTTGCTGCAGGCTGTAGCTTCCATGCCAGGAAGGGGAGAACATAGCCCTACTGCCCCATAAACGCTGCTCACTAGTGCTGCTAAGACCACTAAAATCATGTTTAGTAACCCCAGTGCACAGCTGACTGCGCGTTTTCAAACAACAGCGTGAGAGAGGCTGCACTGCTGCTTTGCAGGGACCAGCTTTGCAGCCCCATGCTGCCCTGGCCCTGAGCTGTCGTGCCCCCGCACTCCTGGAGTCTCTCCATGGAGGCCAGCCAGGAGCCAGACGGGTAGGAGCTGCTGAGAAATGGGAGTCTAGCCAGTGGCTGGATCTGCCATTTTGCCCACCCCTGCACTGGAGGAACATTTTACTGCAAGAAGCGATCACAAGTTCATGGAGTTCGACTATTCCTGCTCAAACACCGAATTTCACTCAGTGATTTCTGCAATGGCTCCACAGCTTCCAGCTGAGTTAGAATTAAAAAATCCACACCTTCCAGGGTCACACTCAGGGTCCTTTTATAATAAGAGGAGAATTTTTTCCTCTTAATACCCAGGGCATGAGCCTAAAACAGTTACTCACAGGGGAAGAGATAGTCCCGCACTGAGTTCCACTGACTTCCATAGCAGTATTACAGAAGTCACGGTACTTCGGAGGTGGAACTGGAGAAAGTGACTCAACTACTCAACCTCAGCCCTACCCCAAGCTTCTTGCTGTTCCCAATTTGCCTCAGCAAAATCCTAGTTCACAAAGGAACGAGGCTAAACATCAACAGCAAAAATGTATTCCGTGTGCCTGGAAATCTGGGATGCCGCCCCTCATCTGTTCGGTATCAACAGCAACCCCTTCTGTGCCCCTGTTATTCAAAGGCATCATTTTAATGATTATCGAGTTCATGGCTCTGAACGCAGCGGCTGTTCCACGTAGGTGCACCCAGGTGCCTGGACTCTCAGCGGGGTTGTGCAAATGGAACGAGTGTCGGGATCAGGACTCAAAGCCTCAAGGCAAAGATGCTCGAAAGTAGTCAGTAATTTGGAGTCCCCAGCTTGATGCACCTTTATATGGGCCTGAAAACTGGGCTTCTTTCAGGTGTCTCTAGAGAGACAGCCAAGAAAGAGAGATCACTAGTTGCTTTTGCCAATCGTGGCTCGAGTTCTTAACCTTTCCCAGCTGTTGCTTTTCATAAATAACTGGCCTTTCAGCTCACCCATGATTTAAATTAAGGCAGAAGACACAGCATTGGATGCCATCGCATTCACATGTGCAAGCAAATTTCCATCCCATGGGCTGCGCTTTTAAAATGTCTCGGTGGGGAGTGAGGGGGGATTCCAAACCATCTCATGCATTCTGCTTTGCAGGCAACAAGACAGGCTTTTGCTTTCACTTTTTTGTTTGCTTTAAACGGGCTCTCTCTTAAATCTGGATTTCGCCATCAATGCAACATAAAGCATTTTAACGGCAGCTCTCGCGGGGAATAATAAATGTCCGTGAACATAAAAAAGCACAGACTCATGCGGAAGCAGTCACATAGATATTACACTTCACAGAACAACGGTAATGAAAAAATGCTCTTCACCTTAATTCTTCAGGAAGGAGCTGAATGACCAAGTATTTATTGCAGCTTCTCATTTGGTTCAAATAAAAACCATTGGACAAAACAAATCTTTTTAGAATTTTTTTTTTTTTTTTTTTTTTACCTCCCCCTCCACAGACAAGAAAAAAGTGGGTTGGTTGGTTGGTTGGTTTTTTTAAAGGAACAATAGACTTTAAAAATGAGAGAACCCCACAGAACCTAAGGATTCAGATGAAAGGTACCTGAATTAGTGAAGAATTAGAGTGAACAGCATCTTCATTTTATTCAATTGTGGTGCTGGCGGTTTTAATCTGCAACTCTGGCCACATGCAAGAGTCAAGCATGTTGAAAAAAATCAAAAGCAAATGGCTAGCCAACCCGATACAACAGTGTTGTCATTATTTCAAAGGAGCGCTGATGGGCTGACAAAAGCCAATCAAGTCTAGTTTGCTGGCATGAATTGCCGCTGAACAGTCCGGTAGTCGTAGCTCTGCTGTCAGCATTAATGGCCATTTAAAATCATTCCATGTTTTTTTAAGTGACTGAGTCTCCAAAACAAAACTAAGTAGATTTGAGGTGTAGGTTGCTTTTTCAGTCTACCTTTTGCTGGCATGCAACACTAGCCCGCTCTTGCCCTAAACTCTCTTTGTTCTCATCTGTACAACACACTCCTCACTTCAATATTCCTGCAAGCGGTAGCTTTCTACCGAAAGAGGAGTGCTCTTTGGTGGTGGTTCTTCTCTGTCCCTTTGACAGAACATGGAAATCCAGCCTAAGTTTGCTGTGGTCAGCCTTTTGATTTGATGGTTGTTTGAGGGACCTATTTGAAGCAAGGAAGATCTTTGTGGATAAGCATCCACGTCAACTGGACAGCACTATAACAGTTGCTGAAGAGAAAAAACTTAAAAGCCCTATGCCGATTCATCCTTGGATAGCCACAGCCAGGATGCGGATGAGGTACACTCAGCACTAGGGCCACTGTCCTGTCAGCTTATGGGATAGGAGATGGGTCTTTTCACCTTCTCCCATGTCCCTGTCCTGCTTCAGGGTGTGTGGTATGGTGTTTGTTGTTATTCTTCTGAATCTTGCTTTATCTGCAATACAGGGTAGTGAGAAAACCATGCTGGTGCATGCAGAGCACTGAAGGAGAAACAGCGATATAAAAACCAAAGCCTTAAATCTATGCTGCTGGGATACAGAGAGAACATCTAGCATTTAAAAGGGATCCATCCCTAACATCCACTCTGTGCAGGACCTGCAGACTCAATCACACGCAGGACTAGAGATGTGATTCTAAACTCCTAGCTACTGCCTGTTACCAGTAAATCAATGGAGCCTGTTTTCTTGGTAAAGGAAGAGCACGTTAAACTTGTAGAACATGCACATAAGAGGTCTGGCATGGAAACAGGGCACTGACTGGTAGGCTGGCAGCAGACAGAGACGGGTTTGCTCCTGAATCGGTTAAGTCCCGGGAAGCCCTGGGCACAGGGGAGCTTGTGCTTGGGCAGGACGATTCTGAAGAGTTCCACGAGGGAAGACCAGAGTGAAACTGGTACAAACACTCCTGCAGATACTTCTTCCTCCCTCTTTACTGACCGGCTGTACTCTTGAGCCCCTTTCTGGAGTCTTAGAACTCCTGCTGTCCTAATGCAGGCTGCTCCGCCTTGCGCAGGGGACCTCTGCTGAACACCAGTCTGTTTGCTCCTTAGGACAGGAGGAATCCTGAGTCTCCAGAAGAATGCAGTCAGGTCCTGATCATCTGCTAATTAGGCTGTCTCAGGTAGGATGCCACTCTGCATCATTATCAATGAAGCACTTTTGAAGGGGAAGGGTAGCAGCTGATCCTCTGAAATCCATCAGCATATGGAGTGGCCATAACATTGAATAGCCTAAGCAGGAGAGCACAAAGACACATTACGCTCCATTTCTTTGTGAGCAAGGGACAAGATTTGGATCTTATGATGATGGCGATGGGGTTCGATTCTGTAAGAGAGATGATGATGACTTGTTCACTGGCTTCAGAATGACCTTGAAAAAGAGGTGCTATTGACCCTGTACCCACAGGTTGCACCTGCCCTCTCAACCAGCTGCACAGTGGCCACGTCACGTCAGATTGGCTCCTCTGACCTCAGGGTGGAAGCAAACAAAATGTCTGTCCTGCAATAATGCCAACACTGTTGTATGCATCAGTGGAGCGCACTGCCACGGGGCTCTGGGGCACAGGGGAGAGGAAGATAAAAACCTTTCATCCTATTAGGAGCTGTGAGGTTCCGAGAGCAGATCATTGATAGCATTGCGTGCAGCTTATCTTCCTCCTCCTCGTCATCGTCGACAGAGGCAGAACGGCTGGCAGCTAAGTGGTGGTAGTTAATAGTTACTGCTCAAAGAAAATAGTGAAAGAGGAGCATAAGAAGAGAGGATTTTGTTCTATGGGAAGTCTTAAAAGGACATGTTCAACAGAGATGAAAAGGAGTTGGGGTCTTCCCCCTCCTTTTGGGGATGGGAGGGGAGGAGCATTTCTCAAGGGCATATTCTCCATTGGGCAAAATTTCCACCTGGCCAATGTCAGCCCTGAACGTGTGCATTATAGTGAAGGCACCCACAGATTTTGCTTCACCCAACTAGACAGCATGCAGGAAGCATGCTCCAGGTGGTCATGACCTCAGCTGTGGGTGCGTACCGGGTTGAAAATCTAGTCTATGTTGCGGGGCCGGGCAGCATGGGGAAGGGAAGAGGTTTAACTGAACACTTTAGCTGTAATGGGAATGTTGCATGCAGAAATCGCCTGAAGCGCTGGACCCTGAGCCACACTTGAGGAAATCATTACTTTCCAGCTTCTGTGTCAGTGGCCTCAAGAACGAGCACAGTGGCAGAAAACCAAAGTGAACTGTGTCTTGTGTGCAGAGAATTCAAATTCACTAAAAAAAAGGGGGTGGTGGTGGTTTGTTTTCTGGGGGGGGTAAGAGAGCCTTTATTTCATGACTGTGAAGCTTTTGGACACAAAACCAGAACAAGCTTGGCTTGCATGGGGTTTGGTCTTTTTTGGCCATTTAAGGTGATAGTTAGTAGTTTGGTCTGACAACCCCTTTGCTAGCAAGCGGTCTGGCCAATAAAAGTACTTCCTTTCTGGAGCAGAACTGCTCTTTGACTAGCCATGACAATCTTTCCCTTGGTTTCTGTCTGAAAGTCCTGCTGCACCAACTAAAGTTTGACCTTGTTCATAGAAGGTTCCCCTGCAGCATGTAGAAAACTCTGCTCTCAAATCTACTCTATTTCTGTTTGGGATAATGAAGGTTTAAGGTTTAGCAGCTTTAAAAAAGCCCATATTAAACTGGACCATTAGCAATTAACTAACAAGCCCAAAAGCCTCTCTGGCAAAATCCTCTGTTAAAAAAGAAACTTCTATCCTATTTCTTCCAGCTCTTCTGGTATATTAAAGTTTCAGACAGAGGGTGGGGTGGGATGGCACCTTAGAGACTAACTGGTTTAGAGAGGCAAGTCCTGCTGCACCAACTAAAGTTTGACCTTGTTCATAGAAGGTTCCCCTGCAGCATGTAGAAAACTCTGCTCTCAAATCTACTCTATTTCTGTTTGGGATAATGAAGGTTTAAGGTTTAGCAGCTTTAAAAAAGCCCATATTAAACTGGACCATTAGCAATTAACTAACAAGCCCAAAAGCCTCTCTGGCAAAATCCTCTGTTAAAAAAGAAACTTCTATCCTATTTCTTCCAGCTCTTCTGGTATATTAAAGTTTCAGACAGAGGGTGGGGTGGGATGGCACCTTAGAGACTAACTGGTTTAGAGAGGCACAAACTTTCATATGTAGGCGACAACCTCCTTTGTCAGATGCTAAGTGTTTAGACTGAAAAAACAATGAAGGGACTTACTGTTCTCATGCTTGTGACCTGGGTAGATGATTCTGAAGACGTAGTCTGTAGCAGTCTCCTCTGGCATTTCATCTAGATCCACTGACTTGTTAATATTCCTTTTCCGGAGCTTTGGAAACACTTTACCCTGTGGTGAAAACAACCCAAGAGATTCAGCTATTGAGAGGCACGCTGGTGTAGCAGGAACAGACTCCAAAGGGCTTTCAACTAAGAGAGTCTGAGGATAAGCGCAGCCTCTTGAGGAGTAGGCCAGGAAGGACTGCAGCCATGTGAGAAGCAAGCAGTATCAGCTATTTGCTACGTATGCAGCTTGCAATAGGATTCAACAGGAACTGGGCATCTGAGGCCCTGGGGATCCTTTGAAAATCCAAGGCTTGACCAAGATGCATGACCAGTGCATTAGTGGGAAGGTGCTCATTCAAAGGAATGGAGTAAGGAGTGGTCAGCCTATAACAAGGGGTGCAAAAACATGGTCTTCCCTCTCTCAGTGGCTGGAAGCAATCCATCAGTTAGGCAATATCCCCACTGGCGTATGTCCCCAATGATATCAAGTCAGATGGTTGTGGGGTGGTTTTTGCTTGATTTCCTCTCCCATACTGCGCGTGTATTTGTATTATGGTGGTGCTGTTGCATGGGACAGAAATATTAAGATCCCCTCGACCCCGATGAGTTTGCAGGAAATGACAGTACCTTGCCCTGTTGGGACCAAAGCGGTGGCTCTAGTTGCCCTCGGGGCAGAAGGCCATTTTCGAGGCAAGAGAGGAAAGCAAGGAGGTGGCCTCCCTGCGGGAAATGGAGCGGAGGTCTCTGAATCCCATCCTGACTCACCAACACTAATGTCCCTCCACTTTCTGCTGAAAGGGAAACAGGAGTGAGTTCACGCTTCCTTTCACCCTGTTAAAATCATCATCTTCCAGCCCTTGCTTTCAGAGGGGATTCTATTTGGGGCTCTCTCAAAAAGTCCTGTTAAATTACAGCAAAAACATTACAAACTAGATTCCCTGCCTGCAGGCGTGAAATTTCCAGGGGTACCATGGCTACAAGTAACCTCCGATAGTCCCTGAACAGCCAGTTGTAAACAGTACTCATTATGTATAAAGCAGAGAAATGGGAGTAAAAGTAAAAGTAACTTTCTTGTATATTAAATGGGTTAGCATAGATGCATGCAATCTAAAACCAACTCCACATACGCTAATATGGGATGCAGTCAAGGGTAGTACACTAGTGCAATTCATACGTCTAGCTGCATCCATTGGTCGGGCCATTCAAATACAGAGAAATGATTTAAGTTATGGAGGGTGCTTGGGAAGAATGGTTACTGATGACTGTGAGGCCAAGGATCAAGAAAGACTTTTGGCCCTGAAGCCTAGGTCCTGGGTGTAAGTCCCTGAAAGACTCCACACCTGTTAATCTCTATGGAATAAGCTTAGTCCACCAACCATGCAGGCAGACTTGCACCAGTGGCTGGAGAACAACACCAGGCATGGCCAAGCCATCCTTCCCATAATTTCTCATCTATTTTTTTTTTCTTTCTAAAGGGTGTTGCAGTGATATTGCTGGCAGGATTACTATCCAGACATCTCAGTGCCGCACAGGCTGAGTGACCTGGGAAAATTGAAGGGAATAAGACAAGCAAAGCTATACCAGCATTACAAATACTCATCCCTTACTGATCTATGAACCAGCTCAGTGGGTACAAGCATTAATATCTATCAGCATGGTCTGATAGCCACAGTGAAGGGAGGTAATGACAATTCAGAGAGAGAAATCATCCAGGAAAGCATCTGTAGGATGTGTTCCCAAATTCCAGTAAGTATTTTAAATTTCACTTTCCATATCCTAGAGTTCAGATTTGGCTCCAATCAAAATGCTAACTGCATTTCATTTGGAGCTGTGGATTAAGCTTTTGGGGGGACAGGGGGCAGAGATGGGGTCTTTGAGCTTAAGCAGCTGACACTTGTGCATTAGGTTTCAGATTTGATGACAAACTCTCAGGTGTATCATGCCAAGCTGACACTTGTCAGAGGAAAAACAAAATAAGGCCCCAAGACTGTACTGAACATAGTGAGCAAGGGATGCTTGGAAAGGCTTTAGGCAGAGAAATTCTCATTAGCTCCTTCAGCAAAGGAAGCCAAAGGAGAAAAACACTGCCTGCCCCATTGTGCTAAATACCTAACAGGCAGCAATATACCCTGCTCCCAGCATTACCATGCCGCATGCAGAAATGAGGCACCTCTGTGATGAGAAGGCTTATGCTTACGTTGCTGATGGCAGTGTATGCAGACGATCTGACTGAATGGCACGATTAAGGCGTAGTCCCAGTAAACACTGAAAGGAAGAGAATGCAGGACACCTTGTTTTTCAGGTGCTGTGCCAGAGCTGCATCCGAGTGCCCAGTACAAGGATAAGCCCATCACCAAACTGAGAGCTGCTCTCTAAACTTGGCCAAAAAAAGCGGAACTTCTGGGAAAGTTAAAAAGTGAAGGAACTGGATGGATGTGGTGTGTGTCTCTGCAACCAGCTGATTTACAGTCAATCCTCTTAGCTCCTTGCTTCAAGCAAATGCCTCATTCTCAGGACTCTATGTGGGCTAGGAGTCAGGACACCTGCGATTGATTTTTGACATAATTCCTGCATACAGCAGTTAAATCAATTGGGTCCTAAGGACCCACCACTGAAATTTCATGGAAACAGGAGTCCTCCCTTGGATTTCCAGTTGGCAGAACTCATTTCCCCTGTTTTGTTGTTGAAACCAAGAGCTGAGGGACTTTGTTTTGTTTGGTTTGGTTATTTTTAAGAAAAAAAGCCTGGACATGTGTGTGTGACAAGAACTGCCCAGTTCATAAAACTAAGGATTAAACACCATCTGTGGGGATAGAAAGTCTCAGATTCAGATTAGGGTATACCCAGCACCAAGCAGCTAGGGATTGGGAGAAAGGTTCCCTAGGGCTTGGTTTGCACCTGCAGGGTTTCTTTCATCTCCATTGGATGCAGCAGGGGCTGGGGTACTTAGACAGGACGCTAGAGGTGATGGACCTGTGTTCTGGTAAAGGGCAGTAGTATCACACTGCTTTCTTGAGGCTGAATTAATAAATGATTGCTTAGTGTTCTGAGATGCTGTGAAAGGATGATGAGAGGGAACTTCAGACCCAGAGGCCCTGAATAAAACTTTTTTTTTTTAATGGATCCTAAAACTGGGTAACACTGCATGAAAGATCAAATCATCTGAAGTATGTTAGGGCAGCACTGTCCAATGATGCTATCCCAGTGACCAACAATTTTAAAGTAACAAAATGTCAGAATTGCCACACAGCAAATACTGTTTTCCTCCCTGGCCAGAGTTTGTTCATAAGCAATTTTGGACAGTTTCCCCCAATTTCTGCCTGTTATTAGTATCACCATTGCACTGGGAGGTTTCCCAAGGATCACAGGCATCCCGTTTTCTGGCTACTGAGCAAATGCACGGTGAGAAACTGTCCTTGAGTGGATCTTATTGTCCAACAAAACACATGAGGAAGGAAAATGGAGGCACAGAATACTATAGTGCCTTGCCCAAGTGATGCAGCGAACTGAAGCAAAGATAAAATTCACGTTCTCTGCCTCCCAGCCCCTTGCCCATATGACGGCTCATGCCCCTCTTATTAAATCAACACAGCTACTTGCTTATTCAAGTGCATCATCAATACACCAAAAGTATGTGCTTCCAGTCTTCTCTGCAAAGTCAATATTACCTTTTCTCAAGTTCTGAATCCCCAAGGGTCCCATTCATGAGCTGGTTCGGGGTCCATTTCAAAGTCAAGTTATCTGCTGACTGATGCAGGGAGAGATACCCAGGAATTGCCTCCATATCATCTCTCTGTTTAACAAAGAATATACATATAAAGATACTCAAGCTCTGCGTCCCAGCGAGCTGTTATAACACATAGCTAACCCAAGTGGCCTGTCTTAATGTACAATCCTAGTGGAGTAAAAGTGTCAATCTACCTGGAGGGAGATAGAGCCTGATTTGTGGGTAGAGGGTGACCTCCGACTAAGAATGGGAGGCCTAATGAAGACTGCATCTGAAAGTCTGTCTTACTTTAAACCAGCTACACAGTTGGTCCAATGAAAGGACATCACCCTAAGAAATCCTTGCTTTCTTGCACAACTCTGTGAAGGAAAGGACTTGGGTTCATTTCCAATAGCAGGCCCATAAGCAGGGCATAGTAAGTAAAGCTCTGCTTGTCACAGGGGTCAAGCTGCATTTTTTCAGACTGAAAAACATTTTACTACCCAATGCCATGTCCCCAGTCCTGCAAAATAAACTATCATGCTGTAGGTGACCTTCGTTTCTGCCCTGCTCAGGCTGAATTACCTCACCTCCCAGTTTCTAACCAACTAGTTCCTGTGAGCAGACAAGTCAGAAACAGGATCAGTTATTGACTCCTATCAGTTGAACAGAACAGCTTAATGTGTGAAGCAGCCTGGGTCACAGAGACCCAGACACGAGCACTTCAGACCTGTGGCGCTCACTTGGGCATTGCAATATTCAGACTTTTATGACACCTGGAAACCACAAACATCAACCGTGAATTCACTTAAACACACACCCAAACCCCAACCGAGCTGAGTCTCTGCGCTCTGGCTGCAATTACAGGGTTGGTCAGTCAGAACTATGATTTTTTTCCCCAGCAGGAAATGGCAACTTCCACAAAAACTAAGACAGGCAGGAGGCCATTCTTGTCCCACATGGACCTGGTGTCCTCAGAAACTCTCCATATTTACTGCACTTCCTCACCAGATTACTGGAGCGGGCAAAACAGATGACTTCCAGACTCACCAGCTGATGAAATCAAGCCCACAAGAGCCTTCAAAGCAGCACAGAATTGTTGCTTTGCTGACGGTCGGTTCAAGTGTGCACTGTACAGCAGTAAGAGCGCAATGCAGGGATAGGCGGGCTGGACACAGGGTCCATTGCATCCAATACACACTCCATTCCACAGACAGCTTGTGTCTGTCTTCCTACATCCTCCTTTCTAAGAACTTGCTGTTCTTTCAGAACCTGCATCTTTCCGACCCTTACAGGAAGGAGGAAAAAGTCTGCTCTCAAAACTATATTTGCCGAGACCTCAGATGCTCGCACGGACAGATGCCGCTAGCTTGGTGCAGCAGCAAGCGTAGCAGGGGTTGCAAAACCTGTCCCAAGGTCCCTGCTACCCCAGCTGCACTGCTAGCTAGAAGCTAGCTCAGGTGTGATTTATGTGAGTGGCAGAATGGACTAAGACTGAGGGATCTGGGCTCCCTTTATTCAAATAATCATGGGGGCTGGGGGGCAGGTGCAAGGGCACAGTTGACAGCCCAGAAGTTGCACGTTCGAGGACATAACAGAACTGCTTGCAGCGCGGCCCTGTCAGATGCCAACGAATCTGCAAATTCCGCTGAATACCTTGACACAAGGACATGAAAAAGAAGATGATCAGAGGAGCTAAGCTGGATCCAGCAGTGAAACGGGGTAGTTTTAATCTTTCCCGTCAGCTGTTAGAGTAACTTCCCCAAAGGGAGAATTGCAGTACAACAGCGCTGGCAGAAAGGGGAGAAGGATCAAGCAGATTTTGGGTGGTTATATTGCAATATCAGACTCTAATTATCTGTTGCTCCATGTTGTCCCGATGGACCGCCTCCCTGCCAGCCATTAGCTTTAAAAAAAAAAAAGTTCTCAATCTGAGCCCAGATGGAAGCCCATGCTGCTCCCAGTCACATCTCCCTTCCACTACCCCTTCATCCTCTGGGGTATTTGCCTTTCAGCAAAACTGGGCACACACTCTTCCAGCTCATGCCACTTGGGGGCCCAGCAGACCCTCCATGCTTCCAACCAGGCACAAATCTCAGTGCTTAGTTTGAAAAGCAGCCAGGGATGAGGTTTAAAAGCAACATCAGGAGAGTGGGAGTATTTTCAGATCCACATTGCTCTCCACTCCTGGTTCAGTGGAAAAGATGCACAGATATGGGTGATATTCCTGGCTCTAGCACTGACTTCTTTGTGACCTTGGCCAAGGGCTTCCCTCTTTGATGCCTGCCACCTTTGTCTCCCTTGTTCATTTAGACTCTCTTATTTGAGGCAGGAACCATCTCTCATGGCATCTGGACAGCACCTAGCACATTACGACTCGAGTCTGGACAGGGGCCTCTAGGTACTGTCATAACAGAATTAACAGCAGCCCTCAACTATGTGAAGGGTGGCTCCAAAGAGGATGGAGCTGGGCTGTTCTCAGTGGTGGCAGATGACAGAACAAGGAGCAATGGGCTCAAGTTGTAGCAAAGGAAGTTTAGGTTGGATATTAGGAAGAACTTTCTCACTGGGAGGGTAGTAAAGCACTGGAACAGGTTACCCAGAGAGGTGGTGGAAACTCCATCCTTGGAGGTTTTTAAGACCCGGCTAGACAAAGCCTTGGCTGGGATGATCTAGTTGGGGATGGCCCTGCTTTGAGCAGGGGGTTGGACTAGATGTGACCTCCTGAGGTCCTTTCCAACCCTCATTTTCTATAATTTTATGACAACACAACTAATTAACAACCACATTGCAAGCGTCTGATGTTTCCTTTGCTAGTCGTCAGGGAATTACAGCTCTGAGCAACAGCGCATGCTGCAAAAACTGTAATAAATTAACACACCTGAAAGAGCCAAGAGTCTTTTATAAACTCACATATGTCTTGCCAGCGGCTTGACTTGCTTTTTGGACCTGAGAATGCAGATAAGCTCTTGGAGCAAATTCTTCTGAGCAATTGATGTTACTACTTTACAGCAATGATGCTTGCACAGACCTAGTGCCTCCAAACCCAATCCAGATAAATGAGGTGGCCTGTTGAGCTTGCTGAACAAATTTACCTGACAGGAGCACAGTCAAGGAACAAACTACGCCTACTGTGTGTTTTGTGTATGTATGTATACAAGTCCCATCCTTTATGGAGCCCTTCTGATGGAATGGTCTGCGAGCTTTGAAACAAGTGGCCCCTAATATACAGCTTAAAAACTACTTGGGACCTAGAAAGACAGCACAAACCCTGGTGTAGTTTCCATCAGTTTTGTACACCAGCGCAAGTTACACTGGTGTCTAAGGTGGACAGTGACCAGATCTTCCCAGGTAGTTGCCTCCCTAGGTGCTATTCCAGTACTTTGTCACTGGGTGGCAGGAGCCAGTTGCAATCACTTGCATTAAGCAGAGAGAAAGTAACTTCACCTCTGGTTTTTACAGAGATGACTACACCATATTCTAGTACCTTACACAGGGGCAGGGCTGCACATCTGCTTGAGTAGACTGGGGACCCTATATGATCTAAATGTAAACTGATTATTTGTGTGGCTGTAGGATTAAGCAGCCGTCCATGAAATAAAGTCCTCAAATAAATGGGTACTGCATGTATCCACGGCAAGAGGTAGGCCCTGCCCTAAGGAACATACAGTCTAAATGGACAAGAAAGACAAAGGGTGGAAGAGGAAACTGAGGTACTGAGAGGGAAAGGGATCTGCCAAAGGTGGCAAAGGGCCAGTGGCAGAGCCAACAGAACTGATTCCCATTCAGTGCCCCACCTGCTAGATCATACTGCCCCTCTCTCTTATAGAACTGAGAAGCTGAGAGGGACAAACGGGGAGGAAAGCAGGGAGTCTGACAACAGACAGAGGTAAAGCCTGTACAGGCAGAACCTACCCTGATCCGTTTTCCCTCTACTCTTTGCCGTTTTGGAGGTGAGGGGAGAGGAGCACCACCAATAAACGGGGCCCAAGCTCCATCCAGCCTCCAGGATGAGATGGGAGGAACTGTGTTTTGTCCCCCTGGATCGCATGGGGAAAGCCAAATGTCCTGGCACTGTTTCAGAGTTTCACTGTTCTTTGCAGCACCACTGACTCCCCGTGCCAGTGACTAGAAGAAACTAACCTTCCCACAAGACATGACCACAGCATGCCTGATGCCTCACTACTTACTGGCTGAACGAGGACGTTATTTTTCCCATACAGCAGGTGTGTCCTCGAGTTCTGGTGCAAAGACTCCACATACTCCCTTGCCGAAGCAGCAAACCGGTCCTCGGACGTGCTCCCGCTGGACTGCCGCTTCCGGATCTGGTACAGGAGAGAGGTGCCATTCTGGGGACAGGTGGCACAGCACTGGGAGCCAGCTGCACACAGAGGCTCCTGAGCACAGCGCCTCTTCACTAAGAAAAGCTCTCTCTTATGTGGCATGGGTTCTTCCACGTGCCAGCCAAAGGAGCTTGCAGCTTCCTTGAGACAGGGACAGGCACTGTGGGCAAAATCCCAGGCACCCCCAGTCCTGAATTTCAGGGCTGGATTGCAAACCCATCTACACTTGGGAGGGGCAGGGGCATATGGGGACCCACATGGACTTTCTTCTGGGACAATGGCATGGACAAAAAGCCTCCCCCTGACAACACCAGGCTTTGCCAGTTACCAAGAAGCGGGCACACAGCAAATACCTACTCCCAGCGCCGGGCGTTTGGAGGGAGAGTCCTGACGGCCGTGTGCTCCATGAATGCGGTGCCTCTGCACCAGCTCATCGGCTGAGGGGTCAGTCCAGTAGTGGTCGGCTGTTTTCAGCTTGGTATATTCGAGAGCGCAGGGTCCAACTAGGAGAACAGCAATGAGAGAGGATCCATGACAGTCTACTGACACACAGAAACTCACTCACTCACTCATCCCTCCAGATCAGATATTGAACTGCGGCCCTTTTTCCTCATGTGCCATGGAAGGAAACGTTCTCTTCCCTAGCATGTAACCTTGGCCAAATTTCCTCTTATAATAAATCAGGTCCTATTAACTATGGCTGCAAGAAAATCTTGCTAAGCGTATAACAGACCGGCATTGCAATGCTGTTACCTCCAACTCTCAGCTGAGGGAAACCGCACCCAGCAAGCACTCTATGAAACCAGACTCCACCCTGCTCTCATCAGACCAAATAATTAAACAGTTTCACATCCTCTCCCGTATTGTGTATAGAGGAGGGTGAAGCTCTTATTGTGTCTTACGTGTCTCTGCTTCGGCAAATGTAGTCAGCAACAAAAATGCCAGCAGTGTTCCCTTGGAGCTCTTATAACCAGGGATCCTGGTTTTCTCTGGTTCTAAAAGATCCCCTATTTTCGGTTAAAAAAAAGTAACCCCAACTCTGCATTTTCTATATACACACGCACGCACGCGCACACACACACACACAGATGTTTCATTTTAATCATGGAAAAATGTGGATTTGGGGATACAGTACTGTTTTTTTAAACCAAAAATTGGGGATTTTTTTGAATCGGAGAAACCTGGGATCCCTGCTTATAACTACATAGTAAACTACACAGCAGCATGACTAGCATTCGTCTGTCTTACTAAAGCCACAAACTGCCCCCCAAGCATTCTTACTCTAACGCCCCTTGGGATAATACATGAGGAACGTACCTAGAAGAGAAGCAAGGATTGGACCACAAACAGGATCTGCCAATAGAGCTTCTTTCTCGTAATATTTGCTGGGAATAAAAAAAATAAAAATGGGTCAGCATCACTCGTTGGTATTTTCAAATGCTGCCAAATGACTTAGGAGCATGAGTCTCTCTGATTTTCAAAGGTACTTCTACATCCAAGTCACTTAGGTGCTTCTGAAACTACCATAAATTAACCATTATTTGATTGTGTGGGTAGGTAAGTGGCAGGAGGGAAGACACACATGCTCTGCTTTGTGTAGTGAGACAAACTCTTAGGACTTGATCCCGCAGCTAAGCACCTAAGTATGACCATTTTCTACCGTTACAGTCCCTAAAAAGCTGTTCGTACCACAGGTGGGCAGGTTCTGCTCTTATGCACTGCTTCTCTGCGACTTTGTTTTAAGAGGATAGCAAGTGACAAAAATAGAAGTGCTAACAGTTTTTCAAGGACTCTTGACAAGGTGGAATAGGTGAATCGTAGGTGGAATGGATTTGCCTTTCAGTGTTTTACAACCCCTGACATAAGACCACCTCTGATTTCAGTTTGGGACTCAAGGCACTAATGTAATAGAACTAGAAACAATACATTTTAGCAAGTAATTTCTGCCAAGATCTTCCGCTGTGACCAAGAAGAATAAATGTTCTCTGCTGGTCTCAAGCAGCCTTAAGTAGCTACCACTGGAGCTGAAGTATGGTATATGGAAAGCTGTTTCTTAAAATATTAACAACAGCAGCTCTTGCAATGACCCAAAAGACTTGATACAGCTGAAGAAAAGACTGAGTTGGTACAAAAAGAGCCGAATGCTAAACAGAATTGCTTCAGCTGTAACCATCCTCCCACTAGATGGAGCTGAAACTCTAAGCTGTTTTCTCCTCCTAAAGAGCACGGATGAGCTACTCAAACACCAGAGTCCAACAGTGAGACCATCACAGAGCTCAGGCATATTGTCTTGCTTCAAAGAAAGTGTTTCAGTATAATCCATGTGGACTCAAATAGTCAGGGAGAAAAGGAGAACAAAAGAAAAAAAAACTCAAACACCAAAACAAGTCAGCAAACGACGTTGAAGCTCAGAGAGTGAAGACACAAGGCATGCCTCACCCCAGACAGGACACCAGGCTACAAACACGACTGGAAACCAGAGAAAAACATTTTGCTCCCAGGAAGCCAGGCCCACACAACTACATGTGCTGCTTTGGCCAGCGTGCATATTTCTTGGAAGAGACAAGGATTTTGATGGGTGGTATCTTTTACTAGACCAAGTGCATGGTTGGGATAAAGTCAGACAAGCTTTCCAACGAAAACCATTCTTCATTAGGTCTTCATTAGTGACCTGCTTCATCTGTGCCTTGCGTCGGAAAGCTTGTGTGATTTTATCCGAATCATGCACTTGGTCCAATCAAAGATACCTCCCACAAAAATTCTTGCCTTTCGCATAATTCCTGGGTCATTATGGCTAAAACATACTTCTTGGTACATTAGGGACCAGTTACATACCTAGCCAAGTGCAGACCCAGAGGCTGCAAGAGTAACCATTATAATTCCAGAAGTGTGGTGTGCTTCATGCCTTCTAGTAAGCTGGGAGGGAAGACTGAGAGCTTCCTTTACCACTTGCACCTGCAGAAATCACTGGCAAAATTGTACAGCAGAGCAAGAAAGCAGGGCTAAGTCTTGGACCAAAGTATCTTCATTTGGGACATTTTGCCAGACACTCCAGGCTGTCTCCAAAACACACCCAACTCCCCTCTCCAAACAAACTAGGATTAGATGCCACCAACAGAATAATATCCTTTGACCACCACACTTTTACTTTCCAGGAAAATTCTTCTACTTGCCTGCTGCCAAGGAGAACATAATCCAAACTTTGGGAATATACGCTCCCACATACCATGCACCTTGCACAGCCAAAGACATCTCACCTGGGATGTAACCACTCATTTGAACAGCTTTAGAGCAAGCTGCATCATTACTGAGTGGAGGCATACCATCTGTTTGTGACTAATCTAAATCAAGCCTCAGGATGTTCACCATATCCTTTGTCTGAAGCCATACAAGTGTCTCCAATAAATTCCCTCGTTATCTGCATGGCTTGTAAAGCTTTTTTCCCCCTTCCTTCATGAACTCAGTCACAGACTGAAATTCTGTCAAACACCTGAGAAGTCATCAGTGTTTTCAAAACCAAACCTGTTGTGGAACTGCTTTTTGCAACCCAATCTGACAGTGCTTAGGCCCACGGGCAGCAGGCTGATGAAGTCCCAGGGGCAAACACATACCACATTGGCTAGATGGACAAATCCGTACCGCTCCGGCTGTCTGGTCCCCTCTTTACCTGCAGTTGTCCACGATGTACTGCATAATTTTGTCCAGCACTTTCTCGATCAGCGCCGTCCGGACCCAGATGTGTTTGATGGCCTGAGGTGTCAGGACAGGCGATTTGCTTGTGGTTGAATTCTGCCTCTTGAGGGACTCCTGGCCAGTTGGCTGATTTTTCCTACAAAGGGACAGAGGGGAAATGACAGAAATTAAGCAGCTGCATTTTCAAAAGGAGATTCCCCACTCTTTGATGGAAGGGTAAGCACTGGGGCTGGGCTACAACATGCGCATCAGACAGACTCAGGTCCAAGCATGACTCGCTCCATTCTTATGTTGCATCAAAGGTTTGTGGGGTTGGGATCCAGAGTTTTAGTCAGCCCAGTGTAAAGTCAGAACCGTGTAGCTTAATGGTCTGGGGTGACCAGGCTGATGCATCAAAAGGGGCCTGATGTTCAGAAGCTGTATGCTATATAAATCCAGCTCCTCTGAGGCTTCTCAAGGGGAACAGTCACGTACCATGGCCCCCACAATGACAAGTCACTTCTTACAGTCGTAGCAGATTTGCTAAAAAGAAAACACCCCGATGCACACTCAATTCTTTAACGCCCCCGCGAAATCCAAGGCTCTATGGAGACAACCCCTCCTGCCCGCTCTCGCAGGAAGAGAACGCCCAGCAGGCCCATCTAATCCGGAAGAGTTATTCCAGCCCATTTCTGACAGCATCCGAGAGCAGAAAGCAGCAAAGCTCAAGGTGTGCCAGAGAAGCAAGTGTCCCACATGCAAAAACAAAAACAAAAACTGTTTATTCCTAACTAAACATAGCTGCACGCCCCTCTCCATCACTGGAGAGCTGCAGGGAAGGCTAGAGACAGGATACCAAGCAGACACTCAGATATTAACATTTGGAGCCTCATCAGTTACATTTCAACAGCATCCTTCATTGTCAAGGCTCCCAAAGGGCTTTGTCAACAGTGTATCTTGGCTGACGCACCAGGCACTGAAACACGGACCTCCACGGTTGAAAGCAGGAGCTGCTGCAGCTTGAGCAAAGGAGTAAAGGAGTTAAAGCTCTCTAGTGGATGCTGTAACAGATTCAAACCCTCCATGAGTCAGGTAGGCACGAGCTACAGGAAGATCTGCAATATACTCATGCCTCCTGTATAGCAGTGGAAAGGAAGGAAGGTAGTTGAGCTTGAGTCTTGTGAAAGTTTCCTCAAACCTTTGGTGTCCCTGAAGGAAGTGTCAGAGGCTCTTTTGTTATTTAGGGTTACATCCCAGTGACTTGTGGGGAGAACCAGTGGGTTCGACCTAGGTCTAACCATAAATTCAGGCCAAAGTTGGATGGTACGTGTTCCCAAATGGCTCTGGCAGCGCTGCCACCACTGATCAAAACTCAGGAGACGCACCGAGCTGCCCAGCTGAAATAAGGGCAATGGTGGGAGGTAGCAGGCATGTGGGCTTTGGCTGGCAACAACATGGCAGCAAAGCAATGCAGAGGTCAGAGTGCCCTTTTGGGCAGAGCTATAGGGAGAAGGATGAAGAGCTGAGTTCCAGGGGTTGTCGAAGGCACGGACCATTCAGGACAGGATGAAAAGTAGGATTCATCTCAGGAAAGCAGGTCATTAAACTGATTAGATGAGCTGGACCAGATTTGTCCCTGGAGGGCATTAGTGAACTACGCCAGAGATGATTCCATCTCATGATCAACCCTCCAGCTCTTGAATCATAGCATGTGCCTGGCTTTGTTGGGAGAGCAAAGCCCAAATGCAGATGGCCAGTGCTGAGGGTGCTTGTCTCCGTAGGCATCTACGAGCTCCTTTCCTAGCAGCAGTCCTGTTGCAGTGGCTTGACTCAACCCTAATTTTCCTTGGGTTCTTTTTGAATTCAGCCTCCAGCAGAGCGAAGTAAAATGGCCCATGCAAACCTGTTGTCCCTGATCTTTCACACGGGCTAAGAACACAAGGCTAGATTGTGGCTGACCCTTGTGGGGCGACAAGAGGGGCACAAAAAGTGTCTATCTGTGAGGGTCCTCGGTCTCCTGCTCCTATAAAGGTGCAAATCTACCCTGCCTGACCTTAGACTACCACAGCCAACTACCTCTCTCAGACACTGAACACCAGCAGCAGTGGAGATAGGCACAGAGCTGGATGCACGTCACTCGGCTAAGTTATGCAGCCAAGGAGCTTCAGCCTGACGTCTCTCCTCCTGCATCCTAGGATGAGCCCTGCTCCTAAATCTGACACCTCCTGGGTAAGTTGATTCTCTCTGCGAAGCACCCTGCACATCCATGGAGCTCTGCGCTAACGTTTGGCAATGACATCCCATCCCTCGCCCTCCCAAGATGACAACAAGATGACGAAGAGACAGACTGTATCAGGCTGCGGTGCTAGGAATGCAGTAATTGAACAACCACTCCCAGCTGGGGGCTTGTTCACAGCCAAGACCCCCTGCCTGTTCCCTACCATGCAAGGCAGTCACAGCTCTCACTTAAGGAAACAGGGAACTTATGGCTGTTTGGTCACAGGAGCGGGGCCAGCTTCCACATGAAGGGTTGGATGCCAAGGGAGGCCTCTCCAAATATCAGCCAAGGCAGGAATTGCTAAGCAAAAGGCAGTGTCTGCGTAAGGAACTGCAGCCATGTAGAAGTCTGTAGTTCCCTTCTGTGGACTTTGCTTGCTGCCCTGTGGCTCTGCTCAGCTCTGATGAGGTCCACAAAATCTGCTCATAAATGTTTAACCCCCATCCCACCCTCTATGACTGCCAAATGGAAAAAGGGAGCACTTGCCCAGCTTGTGCTTCTCGGTGGTCCAAATTGCTTCTTGAATGCTTGCCAGGTCAGGCAGTCTCAGAAGGATTCAGATGAACAAGGCCACGGTTGGTTTTACTCAAAGAACTTTCCTTGTGAGCACAGACAACAAGAGGCTGTTACCACACAAGGCACAGTGCTTGTCACCAGCTCCAACATGCTCAGAGCCACGCGGAGCACTTGCAGTTGCAAACTGCCTTCTCCTTAGCTTTCAAGCTATCATCTTATCACTATGCCCTGAAGTGAACTGCAAACCCCAGGGACTGGACAAAGTGCACTGCCTGGGCATTGCTTCTTCATCAAATGCCAAAAAAGCTCCAGTGGCACGGGATAACTGAAGTTTCTAATTAGAAACAGGTCCACAATTAACACCTATTCTCCCCATTCTGAAAAACGATTCTGGCCTTAGCTATGCATCCTACAGAAGAACGTGTGCCCCAATGATTTTTTCTTTGCATGTCAATCCCTTACACCAAGCCTGGTGAGAACTACTTCTTACCAAACAAGGGGCCGGATATGACACGGAGCTGTGCACCATTTGTGGGAGTTGTGGGTGCTCATAAGCTTGGAATCTGTCAAAACACTGACTCAAAGTGAGTGGAGCTTTATTTTTTAAATGAACCCTATATCTATTTAAAGTTTCGCCCCCATCCAATTACCAAATAACAAAGCCTTCATACATCTGGCCAATTTCTCTCTTTCATACTTTCTGTCTGTCCTTGTCTTTTAACGTCAGTTGGCCCAAGCTGACCCTGGGCACAAGACAAACACTAAGTTCCTGCACTCCAATAGTTTCCCAATTCATTCTTGGACAGGGATTGAGAAAAGGGGATATTCTGATATCTCAAGAACAAAACTGAGAAATGGAGCTAAGTACTGTGATGGTTTTGGGGATCTAGTGACACTGTACAGAGTCTGGTGAAAGCTGTAAAGTTGGTATTGCCATATCACTGAATGCCACTATATATATGACATCCTCCACTTGTTGACAAGATTGTACGGATGGCTCCCCAGACTAGGTACAACAGACAAAGCAATAAGTAGGCTATGAAGGCTGGATGGATCTGGGAGAATATATTTCCTCTAGCCAGTCTGTAGGGAGTTGGTAAAATGGAGAGTGGAAAAACACTACACCAAGTAAAGAGCAATGGTGTTGTACAATCCTGTGTGAAGTCTGCACGCATCATATATTACACCGACCACATGTCCCTGAAGAGGCAGGCTATAAACCAGAAGGCTCTTGGCCTTTGAATAGGTTCTGGGGAACATACTTAAGTGGCTGAGAAGGGTTGAAGAACATGACAGGAGTTTCAGCACTAGTCAGTTACTTAGCAGTCATGCAAGAAGCAAGTAGCATCATTTCAACTAGGAACTGGTCAGTACTCTTAGCTTTCTGGACACGACAGCTGCTAATGTACTGCATATCCCGCTGCACCAGCACTGCACCATGTAGGCCTGCAAAAAGCCATGAAAATATCTGCAATAGTGAAAACACCCTGGTCCTTGAGGGTGCCTATACAGCAAGGCTGCTCCGATGCACTGTAATTACAACACATCAGAGCAGACTTGATTAATCGAATCTGCTCTGACTTGATTTACCGTGCTCCAGCAGACTCCAGCATCTCGTGTATCAGCGTCCCCACGCTGAAAAATGGCTCGTTCGACAAGCTTTAGTTAAAGCGCCCCCGCTGCCATTTTTCAGTGCGGGGACACTGATACACAAGACGCTTCGCACGCTTTAATTAGAGCAGCTCTGAGAGCCACTCTAATTAAAAGAGTCCCTCTTCCCTACCCCCTCCACTCCTAGAGCATGTGTATAAACGCCCTGGGATTTCATACAAACTTGGTCCCTGGCTTATTTTGGCAGTCAGGCACCTAAATCTGATGACATGCTCAGTCGCCCTCTGCATAAGCCCCTGGAGGACGACACCACACAGACATTCAAAACCAGTACGCTACAATACCCAGGTGGAAAACTGCTCTGGTTTTCTGTATTGATTTGTATGGTTATTCTTACCCGTAGCAGCACTCACTCGATCAATGACCCTGTGCAGACTTTCTGGCCAGAGTTCCTGGCTCTCGTATAAACAAATTGTTGGTGAATCTGACAGGTGAGAGACAAGCAACAGCATGCCGCAGTGTGGGCAGGCACTGGGCCATACCTATGCAGCTCAACCCTGACCTTCTACCCTCCCTCCTCCCTCCCATCATGCCATTTCTTGGCATCCTGGAACAGAGAATGCCAGGCAGGTCACCAAGTGCAGCACTTTGGTGCGCTGCACAGACACAGGTTAATGCCACAATAGTTTCACAAGGCTTTGCGTCATGTTGTCCAGATAACATGCCAGCTGCCCACAGGAGCCTCTCCTACCACACTGAGCATCTCCCACAACATGTATTGCTCTGCGCAGTACCCCTGCGCAGCGATAACAAGCTTTTCACAGGCCGGGGAGCATGGTTGCTTCAGCACATTAACGAACTACTTCCTGTCCTTGCAGTGGCAGGCCACTGACAGTGCCCTTGTCCCCCTTCCTTATTTATGGTAAGTTAAAGGCTGGTTTTGATGCTTTGGGTGTTATGCCTGGTGTATGATGGGTGTTCCTGAAGTTTTTAAGATGAGGTTAGACAAACACGTCTAGGATGATTCAGACAGGGATGATTCTGCCTTGAGCAAAGGCTGGACTAAAAGGGACCAGCTCCAGCTCTACTGTTCTATGATTTTATTACCTTGCTACTACAGCATCCGCTGCCTGGCAGCCAAATATTGATTATCCTCATTAACACGCGCATTCCTACACCAGGAGCCTTGCCAGCAGCATCTCCTGGATCAGTAGCAAGCAACCTTAACTCATATAAAATCATTCAAAACCTTTCCTTTGCCCCAAGAACCACTGGTCCAAGGAAAAACCTGATTTCTCACAAGTTACAAGCCAAATACTTGCTTGTCAATGTAATTAGTGACCTGAACAGTGTTGGAATCACAGCCTGTTCTTTGGAGCTGAGCTTGCTGCCTATAGCTTCCCAGTTTCTTAAAGGAGACCTGCAGAGGGGAAAAGAAAGTGGTTTTGTGTCCTGCCTTGAGGCTCTACCATGCAGAGAGGTGACCCAAAATAAGCTATTTGTCCTTGACCTCCCCACCTAGTTTTACGCCGACCCTTCAAAGCAGGGGCAGGATGCTGCTGTGGGGGGAGGTGTTGCTGCCTATAGCTCGGCTAGGCTTCCCCTGGCCCCACAACCAGGGGCCAGATTTATACAGTGAGCAATGATGCAAAGCCATAGTTCAGTGGCAGCTGCAATGCCCGGGGAGGGTTGCACTTGCAGCTGGCAGCAAGAATTTCCTTCACAGCAGTATCCTACCCCCACTCCATTCTGTGCATCCACTGAAAAGGCAGGTAGAGGAAGAGTCAGACTAGCAACCCTAAATGATTCACCTGCCTGAGTCATGGGAGGGCTAAAGAGAGACAAAAAAGCTCAGCTGGTTTATTGTGCCATGCTCCTGCCTGGTCACACCTGCATGGAGTATGAGACCCAGGCCTGAGTCTGGAAATCATTTAAATATACAGCCTAAATCCATGAGACTGTAAGGTCTCTAGGGCAGGGAGCATCATTCTGTTTTACGCTGGCACAGTCCTTAGCACTACAGGGTCCTAGGGCTGTGATGGGCCTTCAAGGCATAACCACAATAATACCATATTTTCTCACAGACATACTCACCTCTTCCCCAAAATTGAGATCTATGTGTTACTTAGAGAAGCTGATTTTCTGCTCGAGACAGAAGCACCCTGCTTTGATTCTTGCTCCACAGTGCAGCAACTGTGGCATTACTATTCAGGCAGTTGAGAGAGTCAATTGACTTAATGGCTCACTGTTTTTCACTCCATGGGTGTTAAAGAGCACATCTCCTTTTTAACCATCTTTAATGTTCCACAAATCAAGTTAAACTTTCTTAGGGCAATTTTCCTATCTGCTAGCTGCTCCTGTCTCCTCCTATTTCACAGCCCTGGGTCTTTTAGCTCTTTTCAAAATCATAGATCTACCTATGAAGATCAGACTTTAGCAGCAGCTAGGGTTTCAGCTTTAGTCAAGCAATAAAAGGAAGATGAGTCAACTAAAGATTAGGTTCTGCCCCTGCTCTATGCAGCCATAATTCTGGAAAATTGTTTTTAAAAGGAAGAATGAAGAAAAAAAAAGATGCATGTTATAATCTGGGGTGTGCTGTATGCAAGAAAATATGTTAGTAAGTACCAATAATGCCACATCAAGACAATGTGTACATACATGACTCTTGCTGACATCAGTGGGACTTGGGCACTGTCCCTAAATAGGGACATTTTCCTGAATCTGGACCTCAGGAATAGTAATAGGAGGGCCAAATTTGTTTGATTTTATATAGTCAGTGAACTGGATCCATACCCAAGGGTATTTATTAACAGACTGCCTTTGCAGCCAGTACTTTATACAGCCCTACTGCTGTCCTTTCTGCTTATTTTTATCCAGAGAGAAATTACAAAATTCAAGTCTCATCTGCTGTTCTGGTGTGGCCAGAGTTGTGGCCCGAGAGCTTTTCCAGCCTTTAACTGAAGGGGCACGAGCTTAACAAAAGCACCTACCTTGCAAATATTTAACTGGGACAAAATGAATGGGACCAGGCAGGCTGTTGAACTAAGTGAACAGGCAACAAATGAACAAACATGACTGAAAAGGGGAAGGGTTTATTAAGAATACAAAGGAGGAAGAATTTGATAATTAAAAAAAGGCAAGTGTTAGAGAAAAAAGGAAGGGGAGCTGGGATAAAATTGCTAACATAAAAATATACATTACAATGATTCAGAACCATCAAGTCAGGCCTGCTGGGAGCCTAAGGAAGAGCAGAGCTTTAGTCAGTGATTCATCTTGTTAAATCAAGAGACCTACAGTCCTTAGGAGATGCAAAGAATCTCTTTAGACCTGACCACCTCACCAGGCGCAGGGCTCTACCATCCCCTGAGAAGGCCCTTTCTTTTCCCTACTGTCTTTATAACCCCGGGGCCTGGACCCTGCAGAATCCTATGCCCAGGCTTCCCTCCATACACAGTGGTTGGTTTTTTTGGCTGGAGCTGCTCACAGCAGACACAACCACATGTGTCCATAAAGACTCGGGCTTCAGTCTGTAGGTCTCAAGGAGATTCCTCTTTCAGCCCATGCTTAACTAGTCAGGTTCTTCCATGCTCCTCCTGACTTATCTTCAGCTCTTCCCCACTACTCTCCACCATGTTCATTGGTCAGTCTAATTTTCACACCAGACGTGATCCTAGAATGAGCTCCATGCAAGCAGACACCTCTGCTGACACGACACCAGCAGGGAGGTAATGGCAGGGCTGCACCCACAGGCCTTAAGTACCAATGGGGATGTACCAGCTTCCCCAGGGTGTCCAGACAAGGTCTAGCACAATACTCCCTCCTCTCAGGTATGATGCATTGCATCAGGTCTCCCTCCATCCTTTCCCTGAGGTCGTAATCCTACCAGTTTTCCCACCAGGAATAGAGTTATCAGAGAGGAGGGGAGGGGGAGGGAGGGAAGACTAGTCAAGAAAGCCTGAATTTCTAAGATCAAGAAAAAAAAAACCCTTAGAATACAAAGGAAGTGAAACAAAACCAAGACAAAACAGGAGCTTTCTTCACCTTTTAAAAATATTTTCTACAGTACCTCCACATCAATCCCACCCAATACTGGTTTGGCAACAAACAAGGTCAGGTTTCTGCTCTTGTGCTGAGCCTCTGTTCCTTTTGTTATCTGTTCCTCCCCCACCAATCTGTCACATCTTGTTCCAACACCTAGACTGAGTCTCCTTGGGCAGGGCAGGGCAGAGCTAGGCTTCTTGTCCTTCGTTTCTATAGCACCTGGTACAAAGTGGGGGCCGTAGTATTTGCCTGGGATCCCTATGGTACTTCTGCAACAGGCACAATGAACAGAAACAAGCACAAACTCCATTCTCAGCCTCTACCCCTCTACCTCAAACTCATTAAAAACTCTCAAAAATGCACAAAAAAGCCTGGACTTTTTCTCCACAGTTTTGTAACCAGCTCAGAGTAGCTGAAATTTCAAAAGAATCTCACCAAAATATGCCTTATTTTCCAAACAGCTCAACCTTCCTGCTATCTGCTCAGCGCATCGCCCTCGTGCTACTGCCAGCCCTTTGGCCTTACCTGCTTTCCACCTGCTGCTGCAGCTCCTGGACCTTCTTGCATATGTCACCAGCTATCGCATAAGTCTTGCCAACTTTGGTGAAGAGGGCAGCCACCTTATCGGTCCGTAGGAAGCCGGCGGCTCTCCGTTTGAGCATGTGCAGAAGACATGCTTCTACCACACCTGGAAAAAGGAGTAAGACATTATGAGCGCTTTGCTCCTCCAAGTCTGTTCTTCCTGACAGACAGAGAGAAGAATGTTACTTACTGACCCTAACCACGTAACAGAGAGGGAGGGTGGGACCTGGACTCTATTCCTACCACTGATGTGGACTCACTGTATCACTTGCCCATTGATGCAGCAGGGATAATAATAGCAGTACCCTTATCTAATGCTGGGGTATAATGAGGTCTGCTAATTGCACTGACAGCTGAAATTAAGACCCGTGCAACCACGTTCTGCAGGAACTAGTATAAACTTATATCATCTAAAAACAGCACCTGCTACCTGGGCTTGTGTTCTGCTATTCTGGGGATTAGCTGCTCTTCTTCACCAGGCTGTTCCTGGGGATTAGCTATGAGAGGATGTTGCTTTCTAGTCTTTGCATCATCCAGGAATGGAAAAACAGAAGGATGACCAGATTTCTCAGATAAAGTCATGGCCAGGCACCAGAGATAGATGCAGTGGCAGGTGCCCTGACACACTACAGATCATATTTCAGTTCTTTAAATGAGTTAGTGAGAGGCTAAAGGATCTCACTGAAAGCAGACATCACCACTATCAGCACACATCACAACATGAGGAAATCCTTGACGCTGCTCCTATAGAAGTCCCCAGCAAAACTCCCCTTGACTCTACTGAGCAGATTTGTGCCTTATGTGCATGGGATACAGCTTTACTGGTGACCATTCATGCCCAGGGGGAGCTCCCAGTGATCTTAGGGAAAAGTGATGTCCTGAGTGACCAAGCAGTTCTCCCAGTTTGGACAGATCAGGTCACTGCAATATGGAAAACTACTAGGGTTCCCCTTTCCCTAGTCTGCAGCTGTTACACGTGCTGATACTGCCACAATATTTCATCCCACCTTTATGCAGAACACAACTCACCAGGCTGGGTCTCTGCCTAACAGTCACAAGCCCAGGCTCAGACTTGGACAAATTTCCTAGTTCATCACATTCAACATCTCTGTGTACCACAGTCGGTGGTAGGGAATCAATCGCTGTGCAAAATCTCACCGAGGGACCTCATCACGTTCAACATCTCTATGTGTACCACAGTCGGTGGTAGGGAATCAATCGCTGTGTGAAATCTCACCGAGGGACTCCACATGCTCCCATCACCACAGTCACTTGATTTGTTGAAGCAAGGTAGGACAAACCACCCATTTATCCTCTTGTACGTATCGACCCACTAAACAACCCAAACAAAACAGAAAGCACGGCACTGTCCAAGTGCTGCTCTCCCCCTGCGGAGAGGAGAAAAGAATAGACCACACACGACATGAATTGGGCATATTGCTTACTGTGCTGCTGGAAGGTGCTCAGATCTATGGGTCGTATAAAAACATGGGGACAACAGAACAGATGTGATGTAGATCAAGAGAGCACTGGGCCGGCTTTAAAGATACAGTTCCCTGCTTCTTCTAAAGGCAGATCCTGTACCTAAACATGCACAACGGGGCAGCAGTGCTGCCACAGCACTTACCCCCACAGAGCACTTTTTAATGAGCTGCCCTGCTTTATTGATGACTAACACAATGCTTAAAGGAAAATGAAAAGGGAAGGGAAGGAAGTGGAGGAGAGTAAGTGTGAAAGCCAGAAGGGCTACATCTTTTTTGGAAGAGATGTAACCATAGGTGTCTGGATCCAGCTGGGTCAATTAGAACAGGAGAATTTGGGGAAAAGAACTGCCTTTCTACAATTTTTACAGGCTTCATTGAGGGTGTGGGCTGGTTTGGTTGTGGTTTTTGAGGGGAGATGATGTACATCAGCCACAGCAACTGGATGGCAGACGCAAATATACATCACTAGACAGTGGAAAAATATTGTCTTTCCTTCTTACCTCTCCTGGCATGGGAAGCATGGGATTTGTTCAACTCTCCTAGAAATCTGCAAGGAGAAATTTCTATTGTGGGGGTACCTGAGCCACTCTTACATGACTTTTTGTGAGCAGAGAGAATCCAAGCTTCTGGATAAGCAATGCAAGAATTTGGTTCCACGTGGGTGCGTGGCAGGAGGGAGAAAAAGATGGAAGTACTTGGTTCACCAAAGCAAACAGTGAGGCAGCACTCATTGTAGACTGTGCAGACAGTTAGCAGCGCACAAATGCATTCTGGTCAGCTCTACTGTGCAGCCTGGGTTTGGCAACTTCTTCTCGATTGTGAAAGAATGGGGCATCTCCTGAAATTACCACCCGCTTGTGGCACCCCCAAAAGCCATCGCTCCCAGTCGTTTCTCCCACGGGAGCTGGAATGCAACAATGGTGACACTTAAACTATCATGGCTGCCCTCGGAGTTGCCCCTTCACTGGAATGAATGGAGAAGTTCACCCTTCTCTGGGCCATTGCTTTGGGCGCTCTTATGACTCACCTCTGCAACAGGTGCCCTCAACTCAGAAAAAGGAACTGTTCCCTCCATAACTTCAGACCACATAAGACAATCTTTGACCATTAGGAACTACCATGAAATCTTAATCTCATCACATCTGTATACAACAGGGTGTCTTGCACTACCCTCCGAAGCAGCATCTGGTGTAGGCTGCTGTCAGACTAGTGGGATAGCTGGACTACAGGTTTCATTCAGTCCAGCAGTTCCCACGTTTCCTTGCTTTAAGATCCTCAAACATCTTTCATCGCTGGTTCAGATTTGAGAAGTTTGGGGGAGATGATGCACCTGCAGAGACATCCTGGTTGGAGGAGGGAGGGCCTTGCTAAGGTTACACCAGGGAGTTAGCTTCTCAGTAGATCTGCCCTCAGCCTTTTCATGTAAGCTAATGCAGGCAGGACAGTACCAGGGAATAACAGGAAAAAAGTGCCCACATCAGTGTTTAAATGTAGGGTGCAGGTGACTCATCCAGTCGGTGATGTCCATAAATAGTAGAAATGGAGGACAACATCACCCACTCACAGACAAGGCAAGACCCCAACCTCCGCAGCGAGCCTTCCCTCTCTCGTACACAGAAACACACCCCTCTCGAGTTGGACTTCCAGCCTCTGAGCAACATTTTTCTGTGTTTTCTGACTGCAACTAACCACGGCTGTCCTGTGTTAACACTGCCACATGACATTTTCATCACAAGAAAATCCAATACGCATTAGGATTTGGCAGCTAAAAGTGAAGAAAACCATATTTTGGAGGCATTCTCAGAGTCTAGTTCTGCCAGGGGGTGCGCATTTTCTACTGTATATGTATGGTCCCCCATTGACATCCCATCCCAGCAGCTCCTGATCTTTAGGTAGTCTTTATATCCCCACAACAACCCTGTGAAGTAGAGAAGTGCTATTATACTTTCTTTGGAGATAGGGAAATGAAACAGCCACATTAAGGGGCAGAGGTTGAAAGGTATCTAGACACTCAATGGAGAAGCTGGGCATTTGTGGGATTTTTCAGAATTGCAAAGATATTAAATTCTCATAAAATAAAACACTAATTGGCCCACTGGCCCCTGCTCCCAGCATCTTCAAGCCAGGCTTCAAGTTCCTCAATTTTTTAGAAAAAGTTATTTTATTCCAGAAGATTAATTTAAAAGAAGTGATGGCTTCCAGCCAATTAAGAAGAAAAAGCCCTGTTTGCAATCAGTCTGTTCTTTGTTGGGAAAGTTATCATCTAAAATGTCCACATATGACACAGTGGAAGAGGATTTAGACTGACACATTATCCCAGAGGAATAGGCTCTAAATTAGAAAATAAACCTCAGCCTGTAATAAGAGAAAAGGAAATGTCTTTGACATAATGTTTCAAAGATACTTTACACCAGTCAAGTTAAAAACCAAAGACTGCAAGGAGAGAGGTGTTGGAGAAATGTGGTGATTTTATGCCTAACCCAGATCTCTCAAATCACAGACTAGAGCTATTACCCCTGAACCATCCTTCTCCTCCTACCGCAGCCACTGTTTGATGCGCAGACTACTCTCACAAAGGGTCATTTTTTCCTCTTAATAATTTCTGGGTCACACAGACATACTGCCCACCACCCTCAGAGTTTGCCTTCTAGATCTCTCCAGTTTCTCCAACATTGTCCCCAAGGGCCAGTTTCTGGTTTGCAATTTTAAGCAAAACAATTTGGCCAAAACCCAACTGCCTCTTTTGTTGCCACTGGGAAAGCCTGTTTTGGAAATGTGCACCATATCGGATGGGTTTCCAAAGCAATGTGCTATTTAAAAAGATGGTATTGCAGGCTGCATGATGGATCAGCAAGTACTCCCATGTATAAGGCCCTTCATCAAACCCAGCTTCCACTCGAGTCAACAGAAAGATCCTTCGCTTCAGTGGGAGGTAGATCAGACTCCTTGAACCTTTGAAGATTTTGCTTCTGAAGCCTTTGAGCTGTGGAGTGGCTGGTGCCAGATTTGTTCTTTCCTCTCCCAGCCTCCTTGTAATTGAGGGCAAAGTGATGGTGGGCTTTGCATTACAATTGGTCACTTTACTTTCCCAACCCTGCTTTTTTTCTTTTTTTACCTGGCAGATGGTGGGTGAAGCAATATGCCATTTTCCATACGGCAGATTGGGATCCCGACTCTGAGAACATAAGAGAACAGAGCCTGTGCATCATAGTCAGAGTCTTCAGCACAAGGAGCCGTGAAAACTGGTTACATAGGCGGGGAGCAGGAGAAAGCGGTGTACTTTTCAGATACTGAACTCCTCTGCTCGGCCACAAACCCCGGGCAAGCCCTAAGGGAAGCTCAGGCAGGTACTGCAGTATTTTGTTAGGTGAGGGCACTGCTGTTGACACTTGCATTGTACCATGAGCACCCTCCGTGACTGGCACAAGGATTCCTTTCAAGCTGAACTAGGGAGGGTAAAATACATTGTCAGCTTGCTGGCAGGCCGAACCCAAATAGTACCTTCTTTCATTGAGTTTCCTTCCTCCCCATCTGAGGTAACATCATCGTCTGCTTGGTTTCATTTCACCAGCCACCACCCTCCCAAAGGCAAAAACTCACTTAGCAATACACTCTTCTTCTC